ACACACACACATACACACATACACACACATACACACACACACACACATACACACACACATACACACACACACACATATATATATGTATTTCTCACAGTTCTGGAGGCTAGAAAATCCAAGATCCAGGCTGCAGCAAATTCAGTGGGTAGTGAGGGTACTCTTCCTTATAGATGGCACCTTCTTGCTGTGTCACATGGTAGAAGAGGCTAGCTAGCTCTCTTCAGTCTCTTCTATAAGAGCAAAATCACAGTCATGTGGGCTCTACTGTCATATTCTAGTCACTTCCCAAGGGCCCCCCTCCTAATTCTGTCACCTTGGGGGTTAGGAATTCAACATACGAGCTTTGGGAGGACACAAATATTCAATCCATAGCACCAACTTAAACCAACAGAAGGCAAGAAAAGAAAAACAAGTATCAAACAAATGATATAAATAGAAAACGCAAAGTAAAACAGTAAATTTAAAATCAGACATATCAACAATTACATTACATATAAATGTACTAAATACTCCAGGTAGAGTCAAATATTGAGAGCCTCGATTTAAATTCGATTTAAATTCTGTTGTTTATAAGAGACATCCAAAATATAAGAACAAAAGAGTGGGGAAAATATCTGCTTCCAATAGTAACAGAAATAGTGTAATAACTTTGTTAAAAGTAAGATAAATACATTATCAAAGATAAAGAGATATAGCAAAAAAAAGTTTTAACATACTGAAGATTAACTCTAAATATAAATGTGTTTATCAATAATACAGCTTTAAAAGAATAAATACAGAATAATTCCATTTATGTAGAGTTTTAATACAGGCAAGATTATATTTTTAGAGATGCATACTTAGGTTGTAAAACTTTATTTTTAAAAGTAAAAGAGGTATTATTGCCACACACACTGTAATAATGGTTACTTCTAGGGGCAGGAAACAGTGGTATAGTTAGCAAGGAATAGCCTGGAGTCTTCAGCAGGGCTGACAACACTCTAATCTTTTGGATATGTTTCCACAGATGTCTCCTTTTTGTTGTTCATTACACTGTACACTTATGCTTTGTGCACCTTTCTGGCATTTTTATATTTCACGATTTTTAAGTTTCAAAAAATTAACGACAAAGAACTCTTCAGCAGATATCTGCATGTCTGCATAACAGCTTCAGAAGGAAAGCTTGTTTTGGAGAGGTAGGTCTGGGGGCTGTCTTCTGCGGGTAGCAGCAGCCACGGGAGTGAGTGAGACTGCGTGGAAAACACACGAGAGGAAGTGAGCTCTCCTGACAGAAGGTTCGGAAACACAAGCAGAAGCAGAAGAGGTGCATTTGCTAAGAAGGAGCAACTCAGAGGTTGGAGAAGAGCAAATTGAGAGTTAATGTTTTAGAAACCAAAGGAGGAGAACATTTCCAGAGGAGGGAATGATCAATATTGACAAATTCACCAGGAAGGTGAAGTAAGATAAAAAATGACAAGTAATTATGGACATGGCAATTAAAATGTTGATTAACCTAGAACGAGTAGTTTTAGTTTCTATCCAAACCATAATATAGAAATCAATTTATTTTCAGGCATTATTGACAGATTTTCACTGTAATAAAGAGTTATGAGTTTTATCACATGAGTCATTTTATGTTGGATATAAATAACTGATTATAGTGATTCATGGTTTGAAAAACCCAGCCCTCAACTACTTGAGATCCTGGTAAATAAAGTGTTAGTATGCAGCCGTTTAACCACACAATGTGATAGACATTGCCTGTTTCCTCTCAATATTCACTGTCCCCAAAGTACTCCAATTGTTCAGTTACTTTGCCACCCAACCAAAAGGCAACATTTCCTATCCCCCACTGCAGTCGGGAGAAGTTAAATGACGAAATTCTGGCCACTGATATGTGGAGTGGATACTGCTAACTATATGACTATATATATTCTTGCTAATATACGATTATATTGACAGATCAGCCTCCTAAAAGTTTTGCTCTGTTCCTACTCCTTCCTTTCCTTTTTATTGACTGAAAGCAGCAACTGGCAACAGCGGCCACATCCTCATCATGTTGCCAGCACCACCCGACTACCGTGGGTCTTTGGATTGCTTCATGGAGCAGAGTCCTAGCTAGGTTGCACTGTATTCTCAGTTCTTTTTACTAACCATATTAACCAGCTTCCTAAATTTTACATCTAAGTAACCATGTTGTGTGGCATTTCCAGGAAACTCCCTCAAAAGGGAGAGGACACCTTTTTTTAATCTTCACTCCCTTTCCTCCTTTCTGGAATATGGTTTTTGTAGGCGGAACTCCAAGAATCCAGGTAGAACGCGCCAGGAAGTGACCCTGGGAACTGAGGCCACGTTTAGCGGAACAAGACAGAAGGAGCTTCAGCCTTTCACTCCACGGAACCAGCATACCCGCCTTAACCAACTTACCTCTGGAATCATTTTCCCTTTTTAACCCACTGCTCTCCATGTTTTGTTGCCTTTGGCCTAACCCAGTCATTACTGGCATGTAAGTGATAAGAAACGAATGGACAGTTGGCAAAAGGACATAGCACTGCTTCCCATGGGCAAGACACACAACAAAACTAATGTTATTAGATCCTTTTAAGACAAAAATGAGACATGAGAACAAACATTTGTTAAGATTTTATATTTATCACTTAAACAGAGACTGTAACCTTCACAGTAATGCTACCAGGGAGGCAACATGATCACTATTTTAAAGAAATTGAGACCTAGCAAGGAAGAGCAAGTTGCTTGGCATCACTCAGTGTGTAAACAACAGTTCTCATTAACAAAATCCATGCTCCATCCTATGCCTTACCTTTTTCCACAGTGCAAAAAGAGGAACAGAAGGCAAATTAACTAGAACAAAAATTGCTTTCACATAGATACAAATAACTCTGATTCAATCAAAATAAAAGATTTCTTGACTCACTCTAGATTCACAGGGCATTGTTTTTCTTTTACCACCTCAAGTTACCACACTTTTAAGAAATAAATTATTTTGTAAGGTTATAAAAGAGAACTGAATTGTATAGTTCCCAGAAGAATTTCTTAGAGCAGTTTGTCCCCCTGAATCAAAGTGAACAACAGACACTGTTATGGGTAACATACTGCTGCTTATTTTCATCCTGGAACAAAAGTGCTTTTTTTCAAATGTTGAAGGTTGGAACTAAAACACAACCATCTGGGCCACCAAAATAGACCCTGCTGCCACTGTTTCTGTTATTTCAGATTCTACTTGGAATTTCTCATATTTCAATATTCTTGGAAGATCCTAACTACTTTTATTACTTAGAAAGGAAAACACTAGGGAGTGTTCTCTATAAGTTTCATAGCTTGTCTGAATATTAAAACAGGGCAATACATTTATTTGGTAATAAATTGCATCCTAATCTTTTCAATAAAGTCATGTAAATTAGCACATGACTGTTTACTTGTGTAATAAAAAGTCATGGCTACAGATGCTGTAATGGTGAGAGTTCAGAGCGTTCCTGAGGACCTGGAGAAGATTTGCTGATAAGAATGACATTTTGAAGGTTTTTGTTTTTTTTTTTTTTTTTTGGCTGAAAAAGGTGTCTCTGGAATCACACTCCTAGATCTTTCTTGAAGACTTGAAAAGAATTAGATTAGGGCCATGGGGACACAGAAGGTCACCCCCATTCTGATCGTTGCCATTACAGTTGCTACAATCGGCTCTTTCCAATTTGGCTACAACACTGGGGTCATTAATACTCCTGAGATGATCATAAAGGAATTTGTCAATAACACTTTGAAGAACAAGAAAAATGCCTCTCCCTCTGAGATGTTGCTCGCGACCCTCTGGTCCTTGTCTGTGGCCACATTCTCCGTTGGTGGTATGGTCGGCTCCTTTTCCATCGAACACTTTGTCAACCACTTTGGCAGGTGCAATTCAATGCTGATCGTCAGCCTGCTGGCTGTCACTGGTGGCTGCCTTATGGGCTTGTGTGAAGCAGCTGAGTCGGCTGAAATGCTGATACTGGGCTGCCTGGTTATTGGCGTCTTCTGTGGACTGTGCACAGGCTTTGTGCCCATGTACATTGGAGAGATCTCGCCTATTGCCCTGCGGGGTGCCTTTGGCCCTCTCAACCAGCTGGGCATTGTTGTCGGAATTCTGGTGGCCCAGGTCTTTGGTCCGGCATTCATCACTGGGTCTGAAGCTCTATGGCTGCTGTTACTGAGCTTTACCATCCTTCCTGCCATCCTACAAAGTACAGCCCTTCCATTTTGCCCTGAAAGTCCCAGATTTTTGCTCATTGACAGAAAAGAAGAGGAGAATGCTAAGCAGATCCTCCAGTGGTTGTGGGGCACCCAGGATGTATCCCAACATCCAGGAGATGAAAGATGAGAGTGCAAGGATGTCACAAGAAAAGCAGGTCACCGTGCTGGAGCTCTGTAGAGTATCCAGCTGCCGACAGCCCATCACCATCTCCAGCGTGCTCCAGCTCTCTCAGCAGCTCTCTGGGACCAATGCTGCGTTCTGTTACTCCACAGGAATCTTCAAGGATGCAGGGGTTCAAGAACCCATCTTTTTGTTCCATACTCATGACTGTTTCTTTGTTATTAAAGGACGACTATAATGGGATGAGCCTTGTCTGTATTGGGGCTATCTTGCTCTTTGTGGCCTTCTTTGAAATTGGACCAGGCCCCATGTGGCCGAACTCACCAGCCATGGCCCCTGCCCAGCTGCAATGGCAGTGGCCGGCTGCTCCAACTGGACCTCCAACTTCCTAGTCGGATTGCTCTTCCCCTCTGCTCTTACAATTTGGGAGCCTACATTTTTATTATCTTCACCCGCTTCCTCATTACCTTCTTGACCTTTACCTTCTTCAAAGTCCCTGAGACCCGCGGCAGGACTTTTGAGGATCTTACGTGGGCCTTTGAAGGGCAGGCACATGGTGCAGCTTGATCCAGGAAGGAAGGCGTCGTGGAGAGGAACAGCATCCAGCCTGCCAAGGAGACCACCACGAATGTCTAAGTCACGGCTCCTTCCACCTCCCTCCCGGCATGGGAAAGCCACCTCTCCCTGAACGATGGAGAGACCTCATCAGGATGCACCCAGGACTGCTTCTGAATGAGGCTACTTGATTCCTTTCTTATCCCATGCACTCCATGAGCACCCCAAGGCTGGGATTTGTTGGATTTTTCAATGGCTTTTAAAATATTTTATTTCCTGGACATTCTCTTCTGCTTAAGAGAGACCAGGTGAACCTACCTTCATTTCAGGAGGGATTGGCTGCTTGGTGTATGACAACTTTGCCAGCTTTTCCTCCCTAGGGTTCTAATATTGCCCCACCAGGGGATATAGGAAAGGAAGAGTAAGGTGCAATTCCCCCAGCCTCAGACTTATCAGGAAGCAGATACCTATCCGAGTGTGGAAGGCAGAGGGGTTTATGTAGGAGCACCTGTCTCACTTCCATTCAGCTCTACACAGCAAACTAACTTCAGGGATTTTTTGTTTTATCCTCTGGTTTAATTATATAATTTAGTTTTTTTAGTTGAAGTTTCGGGATACATGTGCAGAATGTGCAGGTTTGTTACACAGGTATATATGTGCCATGGCGGAAATATTTTTTTAAGTGTAATTTTTCCGAATGGTAAAAAGAGAAGGAAATTGAGATTAGACGGAGGTGTTTAAAGAGAGGTTATAGAGTAGACGACTTGATGCTGGAAAGGCTAAGGTGCAATAAGAAGAAGTTAGGGAGAAATGCAGTTCATTATTGGAGGGCAAATGTGGTGCCTGAGGTCTGCACGTGACGTCTTAACAATTTCTGTCCTTCAGATGGAAACTCTTAAGTTTAATTTCACATAAAAGTCATATGCGTGTGTAATAAAGCTACTGATTTCTTTTGGGAAAAAAAGAAGTCATAGCTTTAAATGAGGACTTGGACTTTAAAGACATCTAACAAACTATGCCTTTTTCATTGTCATTTAAATCCTTCCTCCCTCATTATTTTATTCATCCAACAAATGTTTATTGAGCACCTACAATGAGAAGCAGCACCGTGTAATAGTCAAGGGTGCAGACTACATTTCAAACCCTGGCTCCTCTTTCAGTTGGCTGTCTGACCTTGGTCAAGTCACTCAGTCTTGTTGACCCTCCATTTTCTCATTTGTAAATCAAGATAATGCAGTATTATAACTCCAAGGGCTATTGTGAGCACAAAATGACTTAATGTGAGGATTAAATGTATACACAGTAAGTACATAATAAATGTTTATAAAAAATATATACTGGCATACATGTATACATACAATATACCAAGCTTTAAAGAGCTGGGATATAGCAATGATCTAAACACACATATTTTGTTCCCATGTAATATATATTCCAGGCAGACAGAGGCAGACAATAAACAAATAATTAGGTAATATGTCATACGTGATCCATGTTCTAAGGAAGAAGAAAGCAGGTAAAAGTAGACAGAGACTGATGGTGGGGGCACTATTTTTTACAGAATGGTTCAGAAGGGATGCTGTAAGATAGAAAACTGTGAGGAAGCCAGCCATGCTGATGAAGGATTGGGCTTCTAGGTAATGAAAACAAATACAGAGCTCCCAAGGCAGGATTGTCCTTGAAGCAGATGAAGAAGGACAATGAAGCCAATGTGTCTGGAGAGAAGTAAGCAAAATGAAGACTGGGAGGAGAGAAAGAGACAGGAATAGCAGGGTCTTAGGTTACAAAAGGCTCTGTAGCCTAATGGTAAAGGTATTGGCTTTTACCCAAATTTGACTGAAAGATACAGCAGGGTTTACAGCCATAGCACCCTGAACACGGCCTGTCTCATCTGAAAGATCTTGCAGGACTTTGAGCAGAGGAAGGATATTATTGGATACAGATTTGTAAAGGTTCCTTCTGGCTGCTCTGTGGGAAATCAATCATAACAGAGGGGCAAAAGTTGCTGAAAGGAAACCAAAGTGGTAGATATTGCAATATCCAGATGGACGGACCCTAGAGAAATATTTGCATATAAGCACAAAAAGGCATGAATTTAGCTGTTCATTCTAGTATTCTGACAAAAAAACAATTTAGAAACAACTCAGATACCTGTCTATGAGGAAGTAGCTAAATAAATTGTGATATACTAAATGTCACATAGTATCTATTAATAGCATATTAATAAATCAAATAGCATGCCTTCAATAAGAGTAGGCAGTGGAGGTGATAAAAAGTTGGCCTTCTTCTGGATATATTTCCAAAATGTAGCCCACAGAATTTGTCGTCAGAGTGGTTGTGAGAAGTAAGAGAGATAAAGGTGTGAAGAGGACTCCAGAGTTTCCTGTCCTGAGCCAGCCAGGGTGGATTGTTCTACTGAGTTTTTGAACACTAGGGAAGAAGCAGAGGATTCCTGGGGGAGTAGGAGGGATGTGGTTCAAGGATTCAGCTTTGGGCATCATAATTTGACATCAGAGAGTATAGATGTAGGAGACTGAAGTTCAGAAGGGCAATCTGGGCAAGAGGTGCACGTTTGAGACTCGTGGTGTGTTCATGGTATTGAAGGCCATGTGTTTGCATAAGATGAGCCAGTGCGGTGGTTCTCAGACCCAGCTGTGCACTACAATCACAAGAGTAGGACCTAGATATAGTATATTTGTAAATCCTTTGGGTTGAGAACCAGTGACTTAAAGAAACAGTATAAAAAGAAAAGAAACGGAAAAAATTTGAAGAGAATGAAGTAATCCCAACACTTTGGAAGCCTGAAGTGGGTGGAAAACTTGAGATCAGGACTGGCCAACATGATGAAACCCTGTCTCTACTAAAAAATACAAAGATTAGTCAGGCATGGTGGCACACACCTGTAATCCCAGCTACCAGAAAGGCAGAAGCAGGAGATTCACCTGAACCCAGGAGGTGGAGGCTGCAGTGAGCCAAGATCCCGCCACTGCACTCCAGCCTGGGCGACAGAGTGAGACTTCATCTCACACACAAAGAAGAAAATACTTACTATGGGTCAACAAATTTGAACAGTAATTGAACAGTAAGTTGCCAATACTGAAGTTGAAGATTCACATACTTTTGGCTCAAGGATTTACTTTTAGGTTTATAACCTTAAAGAAATGCTTGCATATATGCACAAAAAGATACGAATTTGTCTGTTCACTGTGGTACTGTAATGGGAAAATTTAGATACAATTCAAATATCTGTCTATAAGGATGTAGCTAAATAAACTGTGGTAACTTAAATACTACACATCGTATGTTAATAGCATATAAATGCAATAAAATACCATATAGCAATTTAAAATGAATGAATTTGATCTAATGTACCAATATAGATTATATACTGAAATCATAGAATGAAGAAATCTAGCTAAAAAGAAAACATATAGATATATTAAAATATATAGTTTGAATGTAAAATATATAGATTTTTATATATTTAATATATATTAAATTATATTTATATAATTTACATAATTTATATTTATTATATACATTCAATATTTAATATATTTTATATATTTATATATATATTTTAAAAATAAAATACATTTCTACATAGGGATATAGCCACTCAGAATTTTTTCATTTGCTTTAGTTGGGTTTTTTAATTTAGTTTTTTAGCCAGGTTTACTGAGATATAATTTACAAACAGTAAAATTCACATCTTTATGCAGTACAATGAGGTTTAGGAAATGTGTACAGTCCCGTAACTATCACCAAAAACAAATGGGATGATCTGATCATTTCAAAAGTTTCCCTTGGGCTTCTGTGTAGGGAGTCCCCTTACCCAACCCCAGCCCCTGAAAGCCACTGATCTGATTATTCCTCTGCTGTTTTTATTCCAGCATGTTATATAAATGGAGTTACATAGTATGTAAGATTTTGTGTTTGCGTCTTTTTTAAATTTTTATTTTGGCAGCCTTTTAGGTACAGGTGGTGGATGAATCATATAGTGGTGAATTCTGAGATTTTAGTGCACCTGTCACCTGAGCAGTGTACATTGTACCCAATGTGTAGCTTTTTTGTTCTTACCCTCACCACTCTCCCTTCTCTGAAACCCCAAAGTTGATTATATCACTCTATACCTTTGCTTACTCACAGCTTGGCTCCCACTTACAAGTGAGAACATACCGTGTTTGGTTTTCCTACTCCTGTGTTACTTCACTTAGATAATGGCCTTGTGCTCCATCCAAGTTGCTGCAAAAGACATTATTTTGTTCCTTTTTATGGCTTGTGTTTACTTCTTTTACTTAGTAAATGTCTTTGAGATTTATCTGTATTGTCTCAATTTTTATTTCTTTTTATTACTATTATCCATTAAATGCTTGTGGCACAATTTGTTTATCTGTTCACCAGTTAATGGACATTTGTGTTCTTTCAAATTTGGGGCCCTTACGAATAAAGCTGCTGTAAACATTCAGGTCCTGGTTTCTCTGTGGACATATGTTTTCATTTCTCTTGGGTAAATATCTATTAACTTTACACCAAATATATATATATTACAAAGCATCTGTCAAAGGATCTTCCCAAATCCTTTGGGAAGGAAGTAGTCTGACTTCTGACTTGGCAGACACAGGGCCCAAAGGAATCTTTTAATATGTTATTAAAATAGATTTTAAATACCAAATGGACATTGTCTTTGGGCTAAATACATAATATCCATGACATATACCTACTACTATTTTCAAACATAACTATTATGCTGAACTGAAAGATTCAAGTTTATTTCAAAGCATTAATCAATTCAGAGCATCTTTGACATTATGTGTTTTCTGAATCACTGGCTATGAAAAGTATAACCACAATCATACTTGAATCTATGAATCTTGTTTTATTTTATTAATATTTAAAAGATAGGGAATAATGCCTAGAGCAGAAATGGGTTGCTTCAGAATCACCCAAGGTACTGGTTCTCAGCCTCCACCCCTGACCTACTGAATTAGAATCTCATATAAAGCAATTATAATAATAGCTACCTTCTGTTGAGCACTCACTACTTTTAGCAAGGCGCTAATTGCTTTACCTAATGCCCT